CTTCCACTGCAGAGTCTGCCGTTGCGAGAACAACTCCTTCAATATTTGCTGCCGTGTCCAACACGACCTGCTGCTCTACTGAACAACTGCATTACATTGACCACGTCCAAAGGCTCCTGCCATGGGTCACTGCAAGATCGAGACTCACCCCAATAACGGTGCGTGCATCTCCTTGTCCCTCTCCATCCGCTAGCCTATTTCCATCGTCCCGTTTCTCTATCCCCCGTGCTATTTTCTCGCGCAATTCAGTTCGCCATGCTGACTCTATTTTCTCTCGCGGGCGCTGGTAGCACGAGCGCAACCGCTCAGTGACTTTTCTCAAGGCGAGTTGTGTTCTCAGTGTTTTTGCAACGCGTTGTGCGGGAGCTGCAGTGCTAGTGTGACGCATTGACTGAGTGGCGCTGCTGTGCGCTCGCTATAATTATTTCGACGGAGGCTAACGCTTATTGATTTTTTATATCTCCTTCGCTGTCGGCTGTCGGCTGTGCACTGTCTGTCTGTTGCATGTTCTTGGCTGGCGCGTCGAAATTGCCCATGGCGTGCAGCGGAAGAACGGGCTGTTCAAGAAGGCTTATGAGCTGGGAGTGTTGTGTTCTGTGGACGTAGCAGTGATCATCTTCGGTGCGTTCAAGGCTGTTCTGTCGTGTATCTTGCGTCCCTGTTCTCACACACCTGCCTGCTCTATTTTTGGAACACTATCTTCCTGCTCGATGTCAACGGCGGCATGTCGATTCCCTTCTTCGTCTGACACGCCCTGACGGCCCCGGGGGCAACTCCCGATGCCGATGGCCGATGACGCCAATGATGACGACGCCGCTGCAGAGGAACGGGCCGGCCACCATGTGAAGCTGCACGAGTACTGCTCGACCGACGTCGACAACATAGTCCAACGATACATCCATGTGCGTACATGTCTTTTGTGTTTCCTTTCTTTGCCATGCGCCCCGCCCGCTGGTCACCGCAGCTGGCCCCTTTCTCCTAGTCTTCACACCAGCCATTGACTCATTATTTTATCCCTATTTCTTTTTACATTTTATTTTGTTTACTTTGTGTGACTGCTTGCTGACACTCGCCCGCTCTTCTCGCGCTCTCCCTAGTGGACTTTACTGTGGCCCCCCAAACAAACTGTGTAATGTGTGATGTGATGCAATGCCACCCATGGACGCGTCGACCCCCGTATGTCCGATGATCGTCCCCAATGCACCACTCTCTCATATCGCCCCCTGCGCTAAATTGCAGTCACCGCAGTCTATCTATCCATCCTCTCTTGCTACCGTTCTTCTGCTCCTGCCCTCCACACCCGGCCGCACATCTCGCCTGCATTGTGTTTCACTACACAGCCCTTGCAGGCTTCCTTGGTCCCTCACAACGCCTGCACGCGTCCGCTCGCACTTCCCGTTACTATCACCTCCACAGTCTGTCCGATCGGCACGCTCCCTGTCCCCCTATCCGTACATCACGCGTCCGGTTCGGTCGACACGTATTGTTGTAATGTTCTGGCATAGCTTTTTCTCACTAGTTTGACAGGGAACGAGAATCTAAGCATCCAGCTGACTTTAGTAAGCAACCAGACGATGGTGCTCATGATGACAACGATGACAATGATGAAGGGCTGAGGCCCTCAGGTTCTGGAGGTGCTTCTTCAGCCAGACAGCCTAGTGGATCTTCTGGAGGAACTATGGGAGGCAATGCAGGTATGAGTGGAAGAAATAAGAGTGGTACAGGATTTAATAGTAGTTCTAGTAAATACTTTCGCCTGTAATTATTTACTCAAGTATAATATATTTGTTTTCTAATTCAACAATGATAAAAAAGAATGATTATTGTATGAAGCATTTATTGTTTGAGCAACTCTGGTAAGAGCTTGTATTCTCACTCAAGTCTTGTATACTCACACAAGTCTTATATACTCTGACAATTTATAAAAGTATTGTAAATTTTAGAAGTCTTACAGACCTTCTAAAGATACATCCTAGTAGCAGATGCTAATGTAATGATTATTGACAGACTTCTATATCTTTTATATATTATAGTTATTAGAATAACATACAATGTATTGTCAGACCACATCTAGTTTTGTAATACAAGGAGAATAACTCTTATTTATGTTTACAAATTACACAAACCTTTCAGACTTTATAATGAATTGTAGTACTTTCTCAGAAACCAAGATCTGTTCCAAGTGTTTTTACTTTTTTTACTTTTTTCACTTATTTTATACTATTATAAGGTAGTACAAGAATTTAGACTTTTTCCCAATATAATTCTGAGGGACTTAGAGTCAAAAGTAAAGTAGAAAGCAGGGAGAACTTGGTTCCTAGAATCCTATACTTATTACATGAAGCAGGCATGTCTTTACATCAGGAAAATATCTCAAACTTTGTATTAGCTTATATGTATATAAATTATATATATTTTCTACATTATGTATAAGAGCTTATTGTGTACCTAGGGGTTTTAGGAAGGTAATAAGAAGCTAAGAAAGCTATTAAAAAGTCTTGACTATCTGGTCAAGAATAATAAGAATTGTAGTACTTACTAAGATATACAAGTGCTTAAAGTGCACCTCACAAAATGGCTAAGTATTATAATACTTGTTATTTTAACAAGGAAAACATATAAATATAAGATGTATAAGATAAGTTTGTCCTTATATCCATTTGTTATTGAAATAACAGTTTATAATTATATTGAAATATTGTATAAATACATTATTATCTACAACAATTAGGGAAATAATCTGACAACATGATGAGTGTATTGACAATAGAGAACAAATGTGTTCCTCAGCTGTTTGAGGTA